AGTTAACATTTAACAAAAAAAAAAATTGCTATTAATATAAAAGATTCTTGGAACAATCCGCAATCCATATGGGCTCGACCCGGATGGGTCAGCGGGTGGGCCTGGGTTGTAGTCCAAAATTTGTGGGCCGACCTGAAACCGGTCGGGAACCCGTAGCGGGCGGACTTTTTTCCACGCGGACCGTTTCCGGGCTCATATGTGTGGCAGGCCAACCCAACCCGGCCCACCCGAATTGACTCATCTATGTAAATTCTTAACTTTTCTTTGTTTTTTAACTATATATTTTTAAAAATCAATTTTACAAAACTCATTTTTATGAAAAATGAGGACCAAACAGGGCAAAATATTGACAATGACACTTGTTCCAACTTTTATCATGTCTCTAGTTATAAACTTGGAAGCTCCTTCGAATATCAAACAATTTTTTTAATAATCGTATCTTATTTTACATCATTTTTAACATTATGTCACGTATCAGCACATGATTAGACAGTTTGAAAAAAACACACTTTCTCGCCCAATATTTTTTGAATTTCCTCACAATATACATCATCGTATAAACCATTGATCATACACTTGACATAATTTTTTTAAAAAAAATTGTAAAGACGACTGTGTTTAAGAACGTTTTAAACTTCGTCAAACGATCCCATAGCTGTTGCATTTAAAAGCTTGTTTATTTTTTTTAAGTGAAAGGTTGAAAAGTAAAAAAAAAAGTATGATTATAAATAATTTTGTATATATATATATTTTTAAAAATGTACGAAACAAGCTTTGAGTCAGACTGACATGACTCGCATGGACCAACAAATGACACAACCCACCCGTGTCAAGATAGATCTGACCCAAGCGAGTCAATCAGCGAGCCAGGCCGGACTCGGATTACATTCCTATCCCGGCTCGAGTTGACCAGTATCTTCAAATCTCTGTAAACTTCTGAAGAATCTATCTAGAAACTTCGCCATTCTGGAGAACTTTCTACAGTAATCTTCTACTCCCCATTTACACTTCCCCTCTCACCACTATATATTCCATTTAACACTTCTAAAACCCAAACCCAAACCCGAAGACAAAATCATTTGAATCTCTGCTCCCATAGTTCAATCATGGCTTCTTCACTCGCTCTCAGAAGAGCTGTACGCGGCCCCGCTTTCTTCAACCGGCTCCTGTTCCCCGGCAGAGTCTGTTCGGTGGCTCCCTCTGTTAAGCGCTCCTACAATACTAACGCTCAGATGACCCCTTATGATGAGGGTGATAGGAGAGTCGATGTTGAACGCCGTTCTGACAGTTCCGTCACTCGGCGTCGTGACGATTTTCCAACTTTTTTCTCCGGTAAGAAATTTTTTCCTTTCTTTTAAATTTAGTGGGAGATTTCATTGTTCTCATTTGTTGATAGACCTCAAAAATTTTTATTCTTGTTCAGATGCCTTTGATCCGTTCTTTCCCGGTAGAAGTTTGAGCCAAGTCCTGAATATGATGGACCAGTTTATGGACAGCCCTTTCATGACTGCTGGCCGTGGAAGGGGTATTGGCGCCGGAGTAAGGAGGGGATGGGATGTGAAAGAGGATGACGATGCACTTTATCTCCGACTAGAGATGCCCGGACTTGACAAGGATCAAGTGAAAGTCTTGGTCGAGCAGAATACCCTGGTGATCAAAGGGGAAGGTGAGAAAGAATATGAGGATGATGAACATGGAAGACGATACTCGAGCAGGCTCGATTTGCCACCAAACTTGTACAAACTCGATGGGATAAAGGCTGAGATGAAGAACGGCCTATTGAAAGTTGTGGTGCCTAAAGTGAAAGAGGAAGAGAGGATGGATGTGTTTCAGGTTGATGTCAAGTGATATAAGTTTAAATGTAAATCAAGAAAGGGTTCTGAGTAGTTTTTGGTGTACATGACTTATTTCTTGGTAATAGTGTGTAACAAATAATGGAAAACATCAAGGGTATGTAGGTCTTCTTATGTTTCAAGACAGTTCTTTGAAGCCATTTTAATTTACCAGTATTTTCATGACAGTTCCTTGAAGCCATTTGGCCCCTGTTTAATGCTCATTAATGAGAAGAAATGTTATTTTGAATAATGATTTTTCGAAGAATGGTTTGAAAGGGGAAAATTTTGGATTCGTGTATAAAATATTTTCTTGTTTGAATTTGCGATTGAAAATAAATATGAGAATTAAAGATTTTTATTTCAAAGGGTGAGACAAGAGGGCTTAATTTACCAGTATGTAGTTGCTCGTGTAACAAATTTTGTGACTGTTTCAGCTTGTGAAGAGCCCACTCTTGACGTTAGTTTGTAAGGGAAGGGTGTACGAAGTGTGTTTAAATTTCCAACACGATGCATCATTACAATATCGCACTCCACCAACAGGCAATGTATTTAATCTTGGGTCTTATTCACCAGCCAAGACACCCTGTCTCTGGAATCTCCTTAGTTCAACTTCAAACCCAAAATAAATAAGTGAAACAGCGAAACTTGAATACAAAGTAATTGATCAAACTCCATAATTAGCACCTGTTTGATGACCATTATTTGGAATCTCCTTAGTTCAACTTCAAACCCAAAATAAATAAGTAAATGATGTTTGGTTGCAAAAGGGGTTTAATAGCTTATCTCATTTTCTACCATTAGGGTACTTATTCTATCACTCGCTGTGCATTAACTCACTTTTTGGCCAAGAGGAAGCCGTTTAGATTCCTTCAATATGTGGACTCATCATGCGAACTTCCATGAGGTTGTGCAAAATTGTTGGCAACAAGAGATTCGGGGTACGAAGCAATTCATCCCTTGTAAGAAGTTACAAAGTCTTAAAAGGGGGACTAAAAAAGCTTAATGAGAAGCACTTCTCACATGTTTCTATGAGAGCCAAAACGGCTACTATGGAGTTGAAAGAGGCACAATTGGCATTGTATGATAATCCTCTTAACATGGAACTTCAAAGTAGGGGGCACACATGAGAAAAGTAGACAAGGATTTGTGTGAAGTGGAGATGAGTTTCTACTATCAACAAGCTAAGTGCCAGTACTTAAAGTATAGTGACAAATGCACTAAGTTCTTTCACTCGATGGTCAATAGGAATCTTAAAAGGAATTGCATTGCTACCATGTTTAAAGGGTTCGATCATATACTACCTCTTTGGAAGAAGTAGCCAATGAATTCCTTCATTTCTATAGCGATTTACTGGGAAAAATTGTCCGGGATATCCTATTGATGTTGACATCTTGAAGAGTGGTTCCGTGTTATCGGAAGAGAATGCTTTGGCCCTAGTTCGAGACATATCCGAGCAAGAGATCAAGTAGGCATTATTTAGTATCATGGATGATAAGTCACCGGGGCCGGATGGATACACTTATTGTTTCTTTAAGAAGTCATGAAATATTGTTGGTCATGAGTTCATGGGAGTGGTGAAAGAATTATTTGCTTCTAGTTCTCTTCTTAAGAAAACTAACCACACAGTTATTGCATTGGTTCCTAAGAGCAATCATTCTATGTCGGTGGGAGATTATAGGCCGATTGCTTGTTGTAACGTGTTTTATGAGGTTATTACTAAGATCCTCGCCTCTTGGTTAAGACCTATACTTGGGACGATTATTGATCAAGCACAAGCTGCATTTGTTGAAGGTAGAAGTATAATGGAGACTATCAATTTTGCCCAAGAGCTTTTGAGACAATATAATCGCAAGAGGGTTGCTCCTAGACACCTCTTAAAATTGATCTTAAGAAAGCGTATGATTGGGTTGATTGGAAGTTTCTCAAAAGTGTGCTTCATGGTTTGGAATTTCCAAATAAATTCATTGATTTGGTGATAGAATGTATTACCACGCCGGCATATTCTATTGCTCTTAATGGTAGTCTTCATGGTTAATGAAAGGGAAAAAAGGGTTTCGTCAAGGGGACCCTCCATCCCCTTTCTTATTTGCGATTCGCCTTGAATACTTTTCGAGGATGTTGAAGTGTGCGACCAAAAATAGTGAGTAAAATTTCATCCTAAATGTGGTTCCTTAGAGATTACTCATTTGACATTTGCAGATGATTTAATACTCTTCTCTAGAGGGGCTGAAATTTCGGTGGGCATCTTAATGGATTGTTTATTCATAGGTAGGACTCGCTTTGGGTCAAGTGGATTAACAATGTGTATTTCAATGAGACAGATTTCTGGGAACGAACAGCCCAAAAAGGGGACTCGCCTCTGATCGAGAGGTTGCTAGAAATCAAACACCTGAACGCAATACATAGGCCTAAGCGAACACACTGCTGGAATGGACAGAAATCGACTGCTTTTGCATGGACAGGGCTAACCGTTTTTTCAAGCAAACTGGGATTAAGCGGGCATGGACGACTGAAGTCTGGAGACCATACATTACTCCTAAACACTCTTTCTTCCTTTGGCTAGGAGCGCAATCCAGATTGCTTACTAAGGACCGGCTGCTGCATCTCAACATAGATGGCACTTGTGTTTTTTGTTGTTCACAAGAGGAAACATGCCAACACTTATTCTTCTAACGTCTTTTCTCCTCATTAGTTTGGAAGAATATTAAGGTATGGTTGGGCATCAGAAGTGCAATGACTACCATTGCTAGTGTATTGAAGTGGATCAAGAAGGAGGGTAGAGGGACTTCTTGGTAAAGTAAGGTTAAGAGGATTGCATTGACAACCGTCGTCTACCATATTTGGATGGCAAGAAATAGAAGAATTTTTCAGGACCTAAGACCACATGTGGATAGCATTGTTAGACGAATCAAAATACGCATATACGAAGTTATATTTTCTTTGTATCCAAA